GGTTGTTTTTTTTTTTTTTTTTTTTTTTGAAAATTTTGGACAATTCTCAACCAACTGCTGTTAAAAGGAGGTAGAGTGTTTAGCAGGGAAAAAATAGTTCGAACATCGGTTCCTGGGAATCGTGGGGTTGAAATTGATGGGGGTTGATTCTGGTTGGAAGACGGTGGGTAACCGTAGAGTTTTAGGGGTTGCTAATGACTTTGAACCCTGCCCCTGGTGGCAGGGACTGCCTTGCCAGTTCTTCCGAATAAACCGTGGACGCCAAGGCGAATGGGGTTGTTGGTAAGTCAGCTGTAGAGGGAGCTGGGTTAGGAAATAAAACAAGTCCCGATGCTCCATTAACTTGATTGCTTTCGAAAAACCACCCCTATTCGTAAAAGCATTTACTTCGCTCGACTTTGCTGAAGCAAATTGAGAATGAGCAGACAAATGTACAGATTTCTGGGTGTAAGACAGATTTTTTATAAAAATATACCTTAAAACAATTCTGTAAGTGGGCGTTAAATCGACAACCCCTAAATTATCCTTTTAAAAACCCTACCCAGCATGTTACTGGAAACGAAGAAAAAATTGCTTCCGGTACAAACTTGGCTTATTAAACATACGTCGTACCTACAACTGTATCAGCCAATGAACTCTTTCATCCCCCAAGCAACCTTCGAGCATAAACAACATTAACCCTCAATTACGTAAGGGCGCTCCTCTATTCTAATTCTCAGGTTTATTATGAAGGTGAGCCGATTACGGAAGGGCACGGGGAAAACACTTTAATTCCAAGTTACGAGAGTTCGCAAGGAACGACATCGCCTAGCACAAAATTTGTTTCCAGTTTTTCCAACCCCTTTCATCCCCTCCTCAAATAACCGAAGATCCCATCTGCTTTCAGGTCACCCAACGAGCAGGCTATGCATATCAATAACGTTGGCGGTTGGTAAAGATAGGAAAAGAAACAAAGGAACTCACCAAGAGGAATGTGAAGTCTGCGTCGGTATGGAAGGCAGCGCCTCTGGCGGCATGGATCTTCGAACGGGAGCACAGCAAACCCTATGATTGGGAGTGGCAGCGGCTTCCGTACAGCAGACCGGTGTACTTCCGGTGGTCATGTGTCTTCCCGTGTTAAATTCAACGGGGGTAGTTCGCACTTTGGGTCTGAGTAAAGGCGACGTGGCAAATTCACGCTGGGCGGAAGTCGAGCTACTGGAGCTGCTGGAACCAGGACTTCCGCCTAGTCTTCCGGGTGAGGCATAGGCGAATCCACGAAACCGATAATGGGACTGATGATAAGGGTAGCCCGGGGGTGGTAGCCGATAATGATGATGAAAGCCCAAGTCTCTTCTCATGTAAGGATCCCCAGGATCAGCCGCAGGCACGTACCTATCCGTAGGTGTGTGTGCCGCAGGTGGTACGTATCGGTCGACGTATCTCTCGGGGTACAGTATCTCAGGAGGTGGCTGAGGCACGTAACGTTCTACGGGGGTGTGCGCCGTAGGGGGTACGTAGCTCGCTGATGACGTCGACACTATTCTACCAGCCGAACTGAAGCGATCCTTAGGCTTCGGTAGAGACAGGTACTTGTCCGCAGTGCTGCGGGCCGGCGAGTATCGCTCGGGGTTTCCATGAAAGCGATCGTTTCCGGAAAATCGAGGATCCTGACTGGAGAACCTATCCAGTCCAGAGTCGCGGTTGTAACGCTCCTGATGATTGGTTCTGTCGAATTGATCTTGATACCTGTCGCCAGTGTTGTAGCTCTGAATGGATTTCGACACGGCCAGGTATTTCTCGCTGACCTTTGACCCGTTCTGACCGAACCTGGAGATGTTAGCTTCCGGGGTAGGAGACAGGGAGAACCGGTCGTTGGTACCGGTGGACACGTGGTACCTTCCTGTTTCGGATGATGGCGACGCGGAGGACAGGAGTCGTTCGGAAGAAGTGGAGTAACGATTCTCGGTGGAGACGTTGGTACCGAGTCTGTCGTGTCCTGGGGACGAGACAGCCAGGAACCTCTCCGTGGATACGAAACGGTCGGGAACACCTCTGCTGGGTCCGTAACGTTGAAGATCGGCGTATCTGTCGGCAGTGACGAATCTCTGCTGCGAGGCCAGGCTATCCTGGAAGGCAGCGAACCTGGCGGCGTATTCACTAGGTGCTGGCGAACTACTGGAACACCTTTCAGATCGTTCCTGACTGTACTTTCCGCATAGAGACTCGATCCCTCGGGTCTCCGTGCTAGAGAATCGCCTCTGTGTCTGGGAGCTCTGATCCGCGGCTGAAGACGGCACCAGGACCCTCTCTGTCGAGGAGTACCTCTGGTGCGCACCCTCGGGATTTGGCGAACTCGAAAGAAACCTCTCGGTGCTTGAGATTGTCGAGAACCTCTCGTGGTGTCCTGGGTCTTGCCTGAGGTACCTCTCGTGGATGGAAGACTCCGCCAGGAAGCGTTCGCTCTTACTGGCGAACCTCTCAGGCACCGGTGCGTGTATCGGCGAGGATGACAGGAGTCTGTCCGTGGAGATGGCGTATCTGCAACTTCCAGAGTCCTTGGATGAGACGAAGGAGCGGTCAGATTGTAAAGCGGCCATGATCGGTGATCCACAGGATGTAGCGGAGTATCGCTGCTGATCCTTGGGCTCATGAATCGGCGATGCATTAACCAGGAGTCGCTCGGCGGATGCGAAACGATCCTTGGATGAAGGCATGGGAGATGCTGGAGCGGTCCCAAAGCGATCTCTGGCCCCGGGTGAACCAGGTGGGAGCATTCGATCAGCAGAGCCAAAGCCAGCAAGGCTCTGACTTGAGGCGTACTTCTCGCTAGGGGTCGGCGATAATGGGGGTGGCGGTATAAAGCGGTCGTTGGCTGGCGCCGGTGAAGGCGGCGACGGGAACGTCTCCGACGAGAACGGATTCGAGGTCGACGTAGACAGCATACCTGGTGCACTCGTGTAATCCCCGTCCGGACGTACGTCGACCTGCTGGAATCTACTTGACTCCATGGAGCTGCAGGACTCAGGCTTGTCCTGGACATACCTGCAATATCGTTCACCAGGTCCATTCTGTCTCTGGTACTGATGAGATGCGACGTACTGTCCACGATTATTCTCATCAGGTTTCTCCGCGCACGTTCTTCCCCCGTAGGAGCTTTCCACGTGCTCGGTAACACGTTCCTGGACATTACTTGACCCCGTGCCCGTCGATCTGTCCTGCTGGGTACCCGGGGCGACCTGGCCTGCCGAACTTCCGCTGCTACTTCCGCCGACTGATCCTGGCGCCGGTGATGGCGACTGGCTCTCGTATTGCGATGTGGCGTGCTGATGCAACAGGAGACGTTCTCTTCGGCCATAGTCGTCGTCCGTCGGCATCCTGGTGGCCCGGGGCCCGCTGTCAGGACATCTGAAAACAAAAACCGTACAATTTTAAATTTCCCGCCGTTTAGTAACCTATAGATATTTATACAACGGAAATTTCTTTGTTTACTTTTTTAATTATTTTTCATATCATTAAATATTGCATCCTTCATTCTAGACGACGTCACTCCTCCGACAAGTCTCATTGGAATATCAACCAAGTCATCGGCCTTCCTAATCAACGCGACGCCCATCACGATTCACCGATAACAACAATATATCCTGTCACGTACCCGTCAATGTTACACGATGTTAAAACGCGGGCGTATAATCAACCACCAATTAATCGGCGTTGCGCTTCTCGCGTATTGCGACGAATAAACGCGTGTAACAAGGGCTTCTGCAGTACCCGCCATTAACAGCGCACTGGTTACGTAATATTTCTATACTACGTCCAAATAAAAGCATATCAACAGACGTATAAAACAGTTTAGTCTCGGACTCTCCGAACTGATGAAAGTCGTAATTCATTAAAAACAATGTTTAGTAGTCAAATCGCTATATCATACAGAAATACGTAAACCACAGTGAAATACAAAATATAGGTAAGTCACTCATAAAGTCCAGGTGACTCTTTTACGTTGTAAGCCATAAGCGGAAGACCCCGTATAAATCGTAGCTCCGTGTCCTAGTCCGTTTTACGTAGCTTGTAAATGGCAGTAGTAATGCCCGGGTATTAATCAGACCGTGGAAATACATCAGTAATGAGTCAGACATTTCAGCTGGGTCAGATATCTGAATGCTCATTGGCTAGAAGCGAAGATAGCTCCCTAATAGAAACAGTGATAATAATCCATTATGGATCAGACAGGCATTACCTCAGATTGACACAGCGGTGCCAGTGGCTCATCAGGAAAAGTAGTAGCAGTATATCCTAGCCAGACTCAATGTTCAGACCAATTCCAAAGAAGGGAGAAAGAATCCCGCAGAGGGTCTATTCGAATGGTTGAATAACCGTTATTCCTTAGCGAGGAGACGGAAGGGGGTCGGTGTCCTTAAAGGGTAGTATGATTAGAGTGCGAAAAAAAATGGAGGCGCTAATGTCGAGCGTCGGTCTGGTATCGACGTCGTAAAGATAAAACGCACTCGGTGCTTTTGGTAAAATACGTGACCGGAAGCGGCGGCCATTTTTATCGTAAAAACTTACGCCCCAGCTAATTATATCGCAGCTATCGGTTCAGTGATTCTCAATTTGAGATATATTTGTGAAAAAAAAAATTTACGTTTTCTCTAAAAAAAATTTATATCGCGGAACCGAGCTTCGACCAAGTGGTAGATTTTTCGTGAATCGAATTTCCGGTGACCCGAGAAACTTCCGGTCACTTTCGTTATGCCAACGCATACGGGCTCCTAATTGGTCTGGCTGGTGGAAAATTTTCAGGTGTTGGCGGAGGGTTAGACACCCTTGGTAACGAGATGCACTCTCGTGTTTAATTCAACCCGCCGTAAGAGGCGCCACGTGTACCTGACTATGTTCCCACGGAAATGGCCGACGTTGTCGGTAGTTTTTGTAATTAACAAGTTCACTGCTGCCGTGTACCTGCTGGTTAAGGCGGAGAGGTTACGGGGTGCGAGATGTAGAGTGAAATTTGACCTCAGTCACCTTGTGACCCCTTATACGACTTGCTGAAAAATTTTTGGCAGTAACGTCCAAGCTGGGGCGAATTTTTCGATTCGATGTGCATACAAGCCTTTATCCCTTTTGGGATAAAAGGGTTGTATATACAAGGGGTGGAAGTATGTACAAGGCTGAATGAAAATTGACGGCTAGTTAGGAGAGGGTAACCAGAAATTACGTACGGCGAAACGTGAAAAGGGGTTGAAGGGACGCGCTAGCAAATTTTACACGTTTGTCCTGGTAAGAGGGGTGGCGGATTGTCAATGAGGGTGGCTCTAGAATTATTATACCGGTACCACCTGACAATTCATCCTCCATCGAAACTGACGCTGAAACTCGTTAAAAGTGTACCATTGTGAACGAGATTTTTTTTTCAGCCTCCTTTCATCTAGCCGTCATTTTGAATATATAGAATACTAATTTCATCGTAAATCGTCATACAGGTCCATTCAAAATTTTAATAACAATCTAATGCACGAGGTTCAATTTTTTCTTGATCGACGGCCGAAATTTCGAATTTTCATGTTATTCCCGCCAAAATCAAAAATTCAAGTTTACATATTTTAGCGTCAAATTAAAAAAAGTATAAAGCCTAAACACGTCCCTTACGCCTTCCGTATTGCACTAAACCGCTGGCACGTTCCAAGCCCTATTCAAACTGAGGTCACGTGAGGCCACACGTGTCACACGCACACCGTCGTAACTCCCAGCTACGTGTCATCGGCCAGATACATCCATTTGTCAAATCTAGTCCCACTCGAGCAGAAGAACCCAGCAGGGGACGTTCGACGTCCTGGTGATCTCAAGTCGTCCTTTCTCTGTCTCTCTCTCTCTCTCTCTCTCTCCCCTCTTCACCCTCTTATTTACTTTCACCCTTAGCCATTCCTACTAGACTCCAGCATATATCGTTACCCCCAGGAAACACGTTTCGCGACGATTTTTCTCTTCCTTCATCAGCGCGAAGGAAGTCGAACTGTAATAAGAAAAAAGCAGGATGGCCAATAAGAGACTGCAGCGCCGACTAGCGGAGAAAATTGACACTCCGCATAACCCGTACGAACCTTAACGTACTTAATGCACTCGCTGTATATCTATAGCTACTCGTTCACTTCACTTAACGGTAGGAAGAGCAATAGGAGCACTATAGGCACTACGTTTGATTTCGTTAATGGCAGTATAACATTGTTAAGAGAAAAGCTCTCTAAAGCTACCAAGCTTTTCTTACAATGGGAACCAGCGACGTCGAGTTTCTTGCAATAAAAGCATTTACCCATCTTTACGCGGAACGTTACCTTCTGTGCTACCCGTTTCAATTCTTGGATTGACTTTTTTCTTTTATTTCGGTCATAATGCAGATAAGACTTCTTAACGTGGACACCTTCGTTTCAGTATCAGGGTTTGAGAATTTTTTTAATATGAAAATTTTGAAAAAAAAAAAATTTCCCTTCGGGTATCTATAGTCGGGGATCAAAAAGTGAAATTGAGTCGATTTTGGCTGTTTGGAATGCATGGAAAATTCTTACTGAGTTTGGACTAGATTAGCGAAAGGCTAAAATTGATATTCGATATGATCCTAAAGATTAAAGGTACGTGTCCTTCCTAAAATCATCCCCTATCGATAGCTGGCTTATCCCCAGTTCAAGAATGTAAAACGGGCTGGGCCATATACATACAGTGGAGCTGCGACACGGGTAAGCTCTTTTGTATAAAGCACGACGATAGTATGTGGTGTTGAAAACATTGAAACGCAAGAGTGAACCTGTGGAGAATTTTATGGTATTAAATCCGAAAAAGCAGGTATCGTGATCCAATCAAGAGAAAGAGAAATGGAAAAAAAATTTGTGATTAAATTAAATATTGATCAAAATTTTATCGTCTTTTGGTGGATGGAGAAATTTTTAAAAATTTTCAAAAAAAATATCGCGGTCGTTACTACACTCCTACGATTGCTACAGTGATCTGTAATGGTGCGGTGGAAGTTGGATGTTGCATGATATTATGATTATCGCGAAAAATTGATACGGTGTGAAGACACCCTTAGGTCCCAAAGTAAATTCCCTTTTATTCGCTTTGGCATTCACTCAAAACTGTCTGCACAACTGGTGGATAGATTTCCACATATGGTTCAATTGTCATTGACATTGTCATTGTCATTCTGATTAATCCAACCTGACGATCAAGTCTTTACTACTGTCACAATGGCTGCCACAACCGTTGGCAGTTTGGCTGCTATCCAAATTGAATCCCATTTAAATACCCACCGCATCCCTATGACTCTATACTATCTCCTTTCCATATACTAAACCACCCCTTATACCACGAGCGGCATATCGAATAACACTGGCATACCCACCCCATTCAATTATTTGGCAACCCCTAATTTTCGATTTTACAATTCAAAACCGTTCAAAATTCCTTCCCAAGCTGACGCGTCGATACGATTGACTTTTTCTTTTTTTTAATTTTTTCGTCAACACCACCCCTTGGTTAGGGGATGAAATTTGTTTTCACGCCTACGGCACAAGAATGAATGCCAACGCAATTTCAATGACTTTCGAGCGATTGAAATGTATATAAATTTTTTTTTCGGTTTTTTGAATTTTCCAAAATTTTTATCCTTTCGACGACATTATATTTTTACGTGATAAGGGCGGCTTTTTATAAGACGATAATAACATTTTTTTACGATCGGTCATTTCGATAGCCGCGAATGCAAAGTTTAATTATTTATTTCCACCCTGAATATTTCCGTGTTAAAGACCCTTTATAGAAGATTATAGACCTTGCGGACTCTAAGGGATGCTGAAGGATGCGGCAAGGACGTTTATAAACAGCTGGGACTCCATTATGCGTAGCCAACGTCAAATTGCATTGGGTAGGTATATGCGAAGTGGCGCGACGCCTGGCGTCGCAGCTGCTAAGATCGCGAGGGTTGTCGCACCCTTATAAACATTCCCAAGCACTCCCTTATGGCTTGGGAAAGGGCTCCTCTGGCCACAATTTTCAACCCTCCAGTCCTCAATTCCTTATACCGAAGACACCGGTGAATATATATCGACGTGACCACATTCAAGGTATATGCAAAAATTTTTTGAAAAATTTAAATATTCAAAAACAACTTGACCGAGATAAAAGAATGTTTTAATCTTCATAGAAGAAAAAAATATGGCGTTATCGGAAGTAGAAGAAATGAATCTGAAACGGCACAGAAAATAATGCATCAAAATCTATACAGTCTCAGGTACGTATTGCGTGGCAAGTAAAAAAAAAAATAGGAAGAATAATTCGTTACTCGAACTTTCTTACCAGATACGAAACCCCAAAAACAAAAACAAAATAGCGCGTACTCTTAAGAGAGCTTCTATAGG